TACTACGTGGAAGTCCAGCGACATAGCCATTACGCTAACTGCTGGTTCCCTTGGTCTCTGTCTTTCTGACGAGCGCATGCTCCCTATAGCAAAAACCTCTCAAGTAAAAAAATATATATATTATTATTATTATCATTTAATTTAACTTATCATTATTATTATTTTTCACTTTGCTACAGGGCATGTGTGCTCACTAGAGAGAGAGGGATAGCAAGGGAAAGTGAGAAAGCAAGCCTCCAGGTCAGGGACTCAGACTGTGGTTGGCCATGTAATCCAGTGCCCTGACCATTAGGCCACCCTGCTGGCCCCTTTCTGTTCTTTTTAAAAATTATTTATTTACTTAATTTAATTTAGCTTTATTTATTTATTTTAATTTGACCATAGAGGGACAGAATGAGAGAGTGAGAAAATGAGAAAGCAAGCCGCCAGGTCTGTGATTTGAACCACTGTTGACTCTATGGGAGTCCGGCACCCTTAAACCACCATGCCACCTCCTGTATGCCCCCTCTGTGCATTTTAAAAGATGGGTGTTATATTTTAGGCAGCATTTTATGGAAGGAGGGATATTTTTAGGACAGAAGATCCACCACCACATTTATAAAAGACTTTCCTAATTTTTCAGAAATCCAAAGCTTGTGGTAACTGAAAAGACCATCCGACTTGCTTATCGTCATGCTAAGCAGAATAAAAAAAATTTGCTGTGCTTTTTACTTGGTTCTCTCACAGTGGATGAAGGTAATGTACTTTTAAAAAAAGTATTTGTATGACCATATTAGAATTTATATTTATTGGTTCAGTTATTTTCTTTGCATTGTGCTAATTCTATTTTGCTATGAACTAAGGATGTGAAAATGAGTAAAACCATCCATCGGCATTTATAGTCTAGTCAGGTGGAAGAATATAAGCAAGTAATTTTTCAAAAGCAAGTGTTTAGTATATATTGGTATGAACTAAGTGCTTTACTGTCATATGGCCTTTACTGATTGATCGATTGATTTTATCATTTTAATTACCAGGCTATATTATTGTTGTTATTTTTGTTCTTCAGATGAAGAAGGTGTAACATTGAGAGTAGATCGCTTTGATCCTGGTAGAGAAGTACCTGAATGCGCAGATAGAACTCCTAGTGCTTCTCTTCCTGGAGACTTTTTGATTCCGTGCAAAGTTCAAACTCAAGGACTTTGTTCAAGAGAAATGCTAGTTCACAATGCAGATGACTTCACTTCAACTTTTAAGGTGAGATTCATTGATAATTTGAGATTCATTGATAGCTCATTATTCTTAATTCAAAACAAAAATCACACTGTGTATAGTATGCTCTGTTTTAAGGACACCATATCTAAAAAAATTCCCGTAAGTAATTTCTGATTAAATTCTTGTGAACCTAAAATCCAATTAAATGTGACTTCTAAGGGCAGAAATCTTAGGTAGGTGATACAGCTTGCATTCTAGATAATCCAGATAGGAATGTTCAAAGTATGCTTAGGGTAACATTAAGGGTATAAATTTTTGCTGGACTTTGTGGCCCAAACTGAAATATGAGTTTGGCCAGACTGTAGAGATCTTTGTCTGCTAGGCTAAGGAATTTGAACTTTGTCATGTGGGCCACGTGGTTGCTGAGTTCTGAAAAGAGGAAATACTATCAGACCAGGAATGATTCAGTAGGGAGTAGGGGTAGGCTGATTGAAGTCAGAAAGGGTAGTTAGGCCATTGCAGTAGTCAGGTGTGTGTTAGAGAGATGTGACATTCCCCAGTGAGATATTTTTTTTATGATTTTTTAAAAGAATCATTCTATTCAACTTTATTTATTTATTCATTTATTTTTTTTTAATTCGACCAGAGTGGGACAGAGTGAGAGAGAAAGGGAAAGTGAGAGAGCAAGCCACCAGATCTAGGACTCGAACCATGGTCAGCCACGTGGGAGTCCAGCACCCTCAATCACCATGCCACCTGCCAGCTCCCTTATTTTTTATTTTTAAGTTAAGATTTTTAAAATTTTGCCAGAGAGCACATGTATTCACCAGAGGGAGAGGGGAAAAGCACCCCTGAGTGAGGTGTGGTCACACAACAATCCCTTCTCTTCCATTTTTTCACCCTGTGGAACCACGGGGCCACAGGATTGGCCCCTCATAAGAGAATTCGAAGTACTACCAGGGGATCTAAGTTGGAAATGTGCTATGGGATGTAGAAAAGTGATTATTATGTGCTTTGACAGAATTATTCATGGAATCTTCTGGTCATATGGAAATGAGAACTGAAATGTTGTAAATCAGAGTCAATTGAATGTTAGTATAAGAATTTATACATATATGCACCAACATTAAACTTTAAGATATAGATGCACTTTAGAAGTTTTTTAATAATTACATAATATTGACTCCTTAGGCTCTACAGCACCATGTATGTAACAAAGATTTCTTGGATTGTGGGAAGCTGTTTTCCCTAAGAGCTCATATCGCTTTCAGAGAGAGTTTGGACAGTGTGGAGTTTGACTTCCACTGGGCAGCAGTGACTCTAGCAAATGACTTTAAATGCACACCTGTGAAGCCCATCCCTATTATTCCAACGGCTCTGGCAAGAAATTTGAGCAGTAATCTGAATATTTCTCAAGTTCAAGGAACCTATAAATATGGGTAAGTAAAAGATACATTAATCCAAAATTTTAAATATTGGTGGCCTTCGTATATTTAGGATATTCACAAAGTAATTCTGGGTCAGTTTAAATACCAGAGTTTTGGTGCCTTGATCAATAACCAAGACAAGTAAAAAATGAAGTTACTAATTTTTGCTGAACATAGAATTTTGTTTCAGAGTTGTGGCCACCACCCTATAAAAAATTGGTGGTGAAAGGGGCCAGTCAGTGGTACAGTACTGATGCAACTGGACCCACACGGGAAATGTCCTGACTTTGTGTCCTTGGACCTCCTTGAGCATGCTGGCCAGCATGGGCTCATGATCCAGACCAGGCCAGCTGACACTGCAGGTGGATCACAGTTTGGAGTTCCCATTGTGGATGCCTCTCTGTTTTTGTGTCTGTCATGGAAAGAAAAAAAATAAACTTTAAAAACTATATTTAAAAAAAAAATGGTGGCCAGGGTCAACAGATGGCATTGCGGTTAAGGTGCTAGAATCCCACACAGCCAACTATGGTTCAGGTCCGGGACCCATCCACTTGAAAGTCAGTTGGATATATATGTGTGTGTGTGTGCGTGCCCGAAATCCCAAGAGGAGAGTGGAGGAGAAGGGATTGCAGTGTGGTCATCCTCACTGGGGAGAGATTTCTTACTTCCTCTCTGTCTCTGGTGAGTACACATTCTCTGTGGCAAAAAACTAAAGAAAAAACTCAGGTTAAACGTGGTTGACATTTTAAGATTATAAAATGTAAAATAAAATCACCTTCTGTAACATCTTCCCCTTGTATTTTGCCTAGATTGTAAGGCTTTTTCCTTTTTTTTTTTTTTAGTTATAATCTGACTAATTGTCAACATAAGAAAGGCTGAAAATTTTATTTATTATATACAATTGAGAGACAGAGACAGAAAGCAAAAAATGGATGGCCATTTCGCAGTCCTTTCTCTTCTATTCTCCTCTTGGGATTTTGGGCATGTGGGCACATGTGCCCTATGTGAGTTTCAAGCCTCCAAGTCCAGGACTTGAAGTGAGGTTGGCCATGTCCAGTGAAGTAACCATTACGCCATCTGCTGGCCCCAATAATATACTATTTTAGTTGTGAACAATGAACATTGCATATAGAAAAAGGGGATAATTAAATAAAAATATCCATAGTGCTATTGCTTACAAGTTTTTAACTACTTGATGCTGGAGTTTCTTCTCATTGTTGGGGCAGAATCCTCTCCAGCTCCCTATCATCATCTTAGTTTCTTAGGAAATGAAAGCCAAATGCATATTTTCTAATCCTCAGCAGGACTGCTTCCCTGAGTCCTCATTTACTTTCTCTGTTTATTGCCTACTGAGCTTGGTCAGACAATGTCAGCACCCTCTGCTTTAAAGCTTGCACAGCGGCAACTCTAAGCATTATGATTCCGGCTTCCTTTTCCACTGACTCCACCCTAGTTCCTGTTATGTCTCTAGAACTAAAAATGTTTACCAAAGTACACTTAATGCCAAGTGTTACCCCCTAAAATGCCTTTTCAAAAGAGGATGAGAAAAGAAAGGACTTTATTTTCACAAAGTCCCTGGAGTAGCAAGAACAACCCCATTTTGAGTTCCAGATTCCATAAGAGCAATGCTTTCTGGTGGGAGTGGCACAAAGGAAGGAGCGTTGGTGCACTCCAAAATCATGAGAACGGTCAAAGCCATAGTGATCCAAAAATGTTTGAATTAAATGTTTAGAGTAATAAAGTACTTCTCACCTGGAATGTGGGATTCTTTTGTTAAAATTTATTTAATAATTGGGCCAGCAGTCAAGTGCTCGACCCAGCAGCTTGAAAAACAGCCCATGTGCTCACTTCGGCAGCACATAGACTAAAATTGGACTGATACAGAGAAGATTAGCATGGCCCTTGCGCAAGGATGACACGCAAATTCGTGAAGCATTCCATATTTTTTTGTAAAAAAAAATAAAAATAAAAAGAAGCCCAGATACATGTGTGTGCGTGCCCCAAATCCCAAGAAGAGAATGAAAGAGAAGAAATTGCAACATGGCCATGACCCCTGAGGGGTGATTTCTTACTTTCCCTCTGTCTTTGTCTCTCTAGCAAGTGTACCCAACCTATAGCAAATTTTACAAAAAGGAAAATTAATCAAAAAATCAACTTGTTTTCTTTGGTACCCAAATCATTTACACATACAACTTGAGTTTACTTTTGTTTGGATTATCTCTCTGTGACCCCTGGGCATGCTGGTAGTAACCAGGATGTTTAATAGTCTGCCCAGTTACTTACTCCTCTTGCCCTTTCCTATCTAGAATTACCTATTAACTTTGTGATATGAGCCTTTTTCCTCAATGACTTTTATTTACTTACCCTAATATTTATTAGAATAATAAATAGGATAGTTAGAAATAGAATACAATTACTTTATCCTTATATTTATTGGGATAATAAATAGACTAGTTAGAATAGAATATTTAGAAAATGAAATTGTTATTTTGTTAGGTGTTGGAAACAAACAGATTAAAAAATGATACTTTTTTACATAACAATATTTACATCTAAGCATCATGTGTTTTAATGGACGCTTATATACAGTGCTAAGAAAACAGATGTGTCCAGATTGCCTGGGGAAATCATGGAAAGCCTGAACTATTGTATAATAGTTCTTTTAAACAATAGGAATTTATCGAGTGGGCAAGGCAAGGGGAACATTTTCAAAGCAGGTGTCAGTGCCATTCTTGATACATAAATCTTATATCATCTGAGTCTAAGCCTTATGTCACATGACTTGATAAATTCGTTATGTTTTAGGGGTATTACAGCAATCAAATACATCATCAGTGGAATTATTAAGACTTTACACCACTAATGATACTGTTTTTTGTGACTTAAAGCCGTAAAGTAAAATAAATTCTGAGCATTTTTGTGGGTTTTTTTTTTTTTCCTTTTCAAATTTTACTGTCCATAATAAATATATTAACTGGGACTGGCAGGTGACGTGGTGGTTGAAGGCACTAGATTCCCACATGGCCCACCCCGGTTTGAGTCCTGAACCTGGTAGCTTGCTTTTTTATTTTCCCTTTCTCTCTCTTTGTTTCTTCTTGGTCAAATAATAATAATAACAAATGGAATTAAGTAAATTTTTAAAAATATATTATCAAAGTATAAATGCAGAATAATGTCCTTTTAGGGAAAAGTTATTGTTTAAAGATTGTTAATAGCTTTTTTAAAAAATTACTTTATTTAACATTTATTTATTTATTTTAATTTGACCAGAGAGGAGCATAGTGTGAGAGAGAGAAAGAGAGAGAGAAGGTAAGAAAGCAAGCTGCCAGGTCCAGGACTTGAACCACAGCTGGCCATGTGGGAGTCCAGCACTCTTAACGACCACACCACCTGCTGGCCCCCAGGAAAAGTGATTTTTTTGAGTTTTATCATGATACAGTTTCGGAGTTCTTTGACAGTGGCTGGAGAAATGGAACCCATAGAGGGTTGGTTATATGCCCTCTCTAATTTAATCACCATCTGTTGCCACCTTGCCAAATCCCCTGGATGCTTGAACACTTCCAGTAATAGGAAATTCACTACTCCCAGGGAAAACTATTTAGTTCTGAAATTGTCTCCTTTAATGTTTTGATTAAAATTAAATTTTAGATAGAGTAAGTCTTTTTTATTTATTTTCTTAGTTTTGCTATAGGGTAAGTGCACTTGCCAGAGAGCCACAGAGAAGGAAAGTGAGAAATCACCGCTTGGGGGATGACCACACCTCAAAATAAAAAAAAAAAAAAAAAAAGATATTTAATATCTTAAAAAAAACTCTCATCTTTTTTTTTGGAGAGGTTTTTGCTATAGGGTGCATGCGCTTGCTGGAAAGACAGACAGAAAGCGAGAAATCACCCCCCCCGGGGGGGATGGCCATGCTGTAATCCCTTCTCCTCCATTGTCTTCTCGGGATCTTGGGCACGCACGCACACACACCCAGCGTGATTTTAATCCACCGGATTGGGGACTTGAACCGCAGTCGGCTACATGGGAGTCCAGCGACATAGCCATCATGCTAACTGCTGGTCCCAAGATAGTAAGTATCTTTAACTTCTTCCTCTTACCAGAATCTTCCTTTTCCTGGGTCAAGCACTTTGAACTGCTTTCTTTTTATGCATGTGTATAAGACACAGTGTTTATTTGAATCATCTCCCCTACCTGAAATATGCTTCACCACTCACATGATCTCTTTTAGGTAAAAAGTGCATGCTATCAATTACTTTTACATGAATGTCTTCTGTTTAGATATCTTACCATGGATGAAACACGCAAATTACTACTTTTGCTGGAATCCGATCCCAAAGTTTATTCTCTACCATTAGTGGGAATGTAAGTAATGCATTATTTATGAAAACCTTTTCTGCCAAATAGGTATTCAAATATATGTGATAAGCATGTGAATCAAATCAGTTGAACTATTAATATTTATTTATATCATCTTAAAAGATCACAAAGGCTAATTGTTCCTAAGCTTTCTTATTTTAATAGAATTAGCTAAAATAAGATTTACCCAATCGTAGTAAGAACTCTAATACATAAATAAATAATATGAGCAAAAATTGAATTCTGGTTGAAGCTGAAGCTTTGGAAGCCCTATTTCTTCAGTCTCCTTTTACTACCTACTCCAAAAGGCACTTTGAGGAACCCAGAGCTCAAAATAACATGTTTAAAATTCACTGCCAGGCAATCTTGCAGAAATTCTCTTTAGAGTTAGTGGTTAATGACATTTAGATGGATTATTCGGTATTTGAATACTTAACATTATTATGTAATTATTCAGTACAATATTGTGTCTGGTACTGTGTTAGGGTCTAAAAGTTTTGATACTTCTCAAGGAATTTATAAGCAAATTGAGGCAATGAAATACTCAAATATCACACAGAAAAACAAGTAATAATGGGGTCAACCTTTGGCCTGATGGTTAAGGTACATGGGTCTCATATGGCCAACTGTATGGTTTGAGTCCCCAACTCAGTGACTTGAAAAGCACACTGGGTGTATGTGTGTGTGTGTGTGTGTGTGTGTGTGTGTGTGTGTCTCAACTCCCAAAAGGAGGAAGAAATGGAGAACAGGTTGTGGTGGTGTGGCCATGCCCCATAGCAGGTGCTTTACTGCTTTCCACACTGTCTTTCTCTTTAGCGAGTGCACATAACCTCTGGCAAATTTAAAAAGAAAAAGGACAGAGGAAGTATACCTTTACTATGAAATGAGCAATATAGTCAATGAGCACATTAGTATTTATTAGAGAGAGATGATACAAGGTGAAGGCACAATTGAGCTGGACCTTTAATGATTTGAATAGTAGTAGAAGGGAGGCTTGACATGAGGAGATGGCATGTGCCAACTTAATGAGAATGCGCATCTGTTTCTGGATCGCAAAATCTACCTACAGGCTATTTTTTGCTATGGGTTATTAATGTATTGATGCTTAAGTGAACATTTGTAAGAACTTTCTGTATTTCATTCTACCTATGTATGTTACATTTAGTTCTCACAATTACTCTGTAAAATCATTTTAGGTTGCAAACTCCAGTCTCTGATTTGGCCCTTTCTTTCCAGCTAGCCTAGTTTATTCTAACATCCTGCTTTCACCTCTATTAATAATTTTTCTTCAGGGAACCAGCAGTTAGCGTAATGGCTATGTCGCTGGATTCCTACGTAGTCAACCGCAGTTTGCATCCCGGACCCCGGTGGCTTAGAACTTACACCGGCGTGTGTGCATGCGTGCCCAAGATCCCAAGAGGAGAATGGAGGAGAAGGGATTGCGGCGTGACCATCCCCCCTGGGGGGTGATTTCTCGCTTTCTATCTCTATGTCTCTCTCTGTCTGTCTGGCAAGCGCACGCACCCTATAGCGAAAACCTCTCAAAAAAATAAATAAATAAAAATAATGTTTCCTCCCATATCTCATGTGAAAAGGGAAATAAATAAATGTACACTTTTTCTCTTTCTCTTCTGTGAGAAAAACATACACATGTGGGTAGATAGGATAAATTAGTTCTCTTTCTCTTTTTTTTTGCTTTTTAGAGATTTTTGCTATAGGGCATGTGTGCTTGCTGGAAAGATAGAGAAAAATAAAGAGACAGAGAGCAAGAAATCACCTCTCAGGGGAATGGCCATGCTGCAATCCCTTCTCCTCCATTCTCCTCTTGTGTTCTTGGGCATGCATGCACGCCATGTGCCCAGTGTGAGTTTAAGCCAGCAGGTCAGGGACTCAAACCACAGTCGACTATGTGGGAATCCAGCGACATAACCATTATGCCATCTGCTAGTCCCGATTAGTTCTTGATTATCAACATAGTCTAATGTTAATAGAGCTCTTCTTTGTGAGGTCTTTTTATATATTGCTGATAATTGCCAAGGATCTGCCTAACATGCATGTAATCTAAAGTTTGTTAATTTTGTAAATGACTAGTTTTTCATTTTTTTTTTTTTTCCTTTTAGTTGGCTCTCTGGACTTATACATATCTATAGCCCTCAGGTATGGGCTTGTTGCTTGAGATACATGTTCAGTTCCTTTATTCAAGAAAGGCAAGTGATAATTTTATTCTGTATTATTTATTTTGATTTTTTTTCTCTGTTTATATTTGATTGATCTTATTTAAAATTTATATAATACCTTAACCTCTTAAGTTCATTATGAAAAACAAGCAAACTTACATTTAAATGGACATAAAACCAGATAAAAAAGATGAGTTTGTAGTCAACCTGGAGATATGAAGGAATTCATTTGTCTAACCACACAGAACTATAACACAGAAGATAATACTTTGTAGGAGTGAAAAAAATTCTAGATATCATCTGTAACATCCAGTATTACAAATAAAGAGATTAACTTTCAATGAAATGGTTGCAAATGAGTGAATTACTTTGCAAGTGTATTATTAAGTTACATGGTACACTAAGAAATAATTGAGACAAAGTGTTCAATTTTCTTCCTGAACAGAAGCCTAAGTATTAGAATTAGTAGCTAAGGAAACTTAATTTCTAGCTTCAACTCCTCATTTAATTATATTTTGTATGTGATGCCACTATTTACCTCTTATCTTCATCTATTAAATGAGAATGTCTGTTTTTGTCTACTTTGAATGGCTAGAATAGACTGTTGAGTAAAAACTTACTGAGAAAGCAATTTGGCATGATAATAAATTAGACAAATGTAAAGATACACAACAAAAGAGAAGTCTCTCAACCAGGCACAGTGCCGTGTACTTACAATTCCAGTTCCTTGGGGCACTGAGATGGGAGATCATACATTCGAGACTAGCCTTAGCAGCATAGCAGACCCTGTATGTAAAAAAGACAGAAGCAATCTTTATTAAATGTGCTTTGTACATCCTTCCTGAAATATTTAATACTTAAGCAAATATCATCTTCCCCCAGCCATAAAAATTAAATATAGACTCTCCTCATTTAATGGCCTACCTACCTGTTTAATGACCACTTTGACTTAGGACCAGTTCTCCAACATGGAGAATCCCTTTTCTCAGTCTTAGTCTCATTCCCAGTTATTAGTACTCACTACATGAAGCATTCACTATTACGCAAGACTACATATTTCATTTATAAATTTGTTCTTTATTATGTACCCAGAATAAGTCAAAGTTCCACAGGATTTATTAATTAATATATTACCATATTGTGGTGTCTCTTGTCACTTGATGGCATTATCTAATGTATTCTTTTTGTATGGATAGAATTACATTTTTCTAGTGTGGTGTCACATAAAATCTATTGAAAAATACATACGCTGTGTTTCCTTAACCCACACAATACATTAACCTTTAAGTTCCTCACTTATCGACCCATTTGCTTAATGACCTAGTTCTAGAAATGGAATTCAGTCATTAAGTGAGGAGTACCTATAACAAATAGGAGCATACAAGTCTTTTCTGTATGTTACTTTTTTTTCCCTATACTGTTATATCTTGAAGATTATTACAGCTTGGCATATACAGATACAATACACATTTTAGAGCTGAATGGTATGCAACATATACTGTATTTTTAAAACTGGTTCTTTTGTTCTCACAAACAATGGTCAACTGAGCATTTTTATGCATTTTATCTTTGTGTACATATACTAGTATGTTTGTGGGCTAAATTCCTACAAGTATTTTCTCTGAGCCAAAGAGTATGTAATTTTAAGTTTCGATAAATATTCCCCAATTGCCCTTTGAATAGACTGCCAATTTATAACCCTCCCAACAACGTGTAAAGAGTGCCTGTCACGGGAACCAGCAGTTAGCGTAATGGCTATGTCGCTGGACTCCCATGTAGTCAACCGCGGTTCACGTCCCAGACCCGGTGGCTTAAAACTCACACTGGGCGCATGTGCGTGCATGCCCAAGATCCCAAGAGGAGAATGGAGGAGAAGGGATTGCAGCGTGGCCATCCCCCCTGGGGGATGATTTCTCGCTTTCTGTCTCTCTGTCTCTCTCTGTCTGTCTGGTGAGTGCATGCGCCCTATAGCAAAAACCTCTCCAAGGGATCAGCAGTTAGCGTAATGGCTATGTCACTGGACTCCCACGTAGTCGACTGCAGTGTGAGTCCCAGTCCCGTTGGCTTAAACTCACACTGAGCACATGTGCGCGCATGCCCAAGATCCCAAGAGGAGAATGGAGGAGAAGGGATTGCAGCGTGGCCATCCCCCCTGGGGGATGATTTCTCGCTTTCTGTCTCTATGTCTCTGTCTGGCGAGCACATGCACCCTATAGCGAAAACCTCTCAAAAAAAAGTGCCTGTCACATACCAACACTGTTCACAATATTGAGAGTAATCAGTAAGGAAAATAAACATTCCACAAAGAGAGGTAGCAAACAGAATAAGTAAAATAAATAGTATTTTTAAAGGGGGTGGATGTTGTGAGAAAAATAAACCCGGAGAGGAGGATAAATGATAATGGCAAGTAAAGAGTTGTAGTTCTAGGGCTGGCCGCACAGGGGAGCACAGGGAGCCAGAGCCCATATGGCCAACTGCTGTTGTTATCCTTGAAATCCTGGCCTTATGGCAAGAGTTGCAATTCATTTTTATTCTATTTATTTTTAGTTTGCTACAGGGCAAGTGCGCTTATTGGTGAGGGATGGGTGTGAGAAATCACCACCCTGCCCCGAGGAGGGTGGCCACACCACAAATCCCTCTTCCATTCTCCTCTCAGGATCCTAGTCACACATGCAAACATGCCTGCATGTTTTTCAAGCTGCCTGGTCTGGGACTCCAACTACGCACTCAGCCATGTGAGATCCAGCTGCCTCAACCTCCATGCCACCTGCTGGCCCTGAGAGTTGCAATTTAAGATTTGCCTCAGCTGATCACAGACTTGAGGTGAGGGAGTAAGCCAGGTGCAGGTCTGGGGCAGTGTCTTGGGTAGAGGATACGTTAAGTGCATAGAGTGAAAGATCACCACGTGTCCTCAGAACAGCAAGGAGTACCGTGTGGCTAGAGAGGCAGAAGGGAAGGGCTGAGTAGCAGGAGATGAGCACAGAGAGGTAAACTAAAGGCTGTTGTTAACCTTTCATTTTGCTCATCTGATAGGTGAAAAATCTTTTCCAATATTTTATAGCCTCATCTTCTGTCTTGTACGTCTTTTTCTTTTGGATAGCATGTCTTTTTCAGATTGTTCTGTAAGCTCCTCTTTTTCCATATGTGCGTGTGTATATATAGAAAGAGAAAACAAAGATTCTACCCAGAATGTCGTTTCAGTTAACTTTGGTTAACAGTATTTTTCCAACAGAATTAAGTCAAATTTTTTTTCCCCTCTTTTAAGATTCACTCATTCCAGGACTATTGAAATTTTAAAATCTCGTGTGAAGGCCAGCAGGTGGTGTGTTGGTTAAGATGCTGGACTCTCACATGTCTCACCGTGGTTCAAGTCCCAGAACTGGTGTCTTGCTTTATCAATTTTCCTGTCTCTGGTGAACACATGGACCCTATAGCAAATTAAAATAATAATAAATAAGTAATTCTTTTTTAAAAAATCTCTTGTATTTCCTTCAGGTGCTCATATAGTACTCCTTCATACATTTTATTTCAGCCTTGCAAGAGATTTGTTTTCACTTGCAATAAAACAAAGTAAATGTTAGTATTTTATCCTTTGTTCTGATTTAGAACAGTTGTTTTATTGATCTTCCTTTAAGATGTTGACAGTAAGTGCTCAGTAAAATTAATTTTGGAGCTCTTTGTGTCACTCTGTTTTCAGTCTGAAGCATTAGGCAATTTCTTTGATGCCAGAATCCTTAATTACTCCCGTAACTTAGGTTGGTGCTTTGCAGTGTTTTGAGCAGTGGTCTTCCTTGACCTCAGAGCAAGACAGACATTCTGCCTCTCCACCCTGCACTGTTGTGTTTGGTTGGTAGTGTAACAGATCCTTGTAATTTCTCATTCATCATTTTACAGTGTTGACACAGGAAGATACAGCGATTTTTGTTTTGTTTTGTTTTTTAGTTTTTAGTTTTATTTTTCCCATAAGCAAAAGAAAGAGAAAGACCAAAAGATAGCACCCCAGCTGGGTCTTTCCTTTTTTTTTTTTTTAAGCTTTTGCTATAGGGCATGTGGGCTCACCAGAGAGAGCGAAAATGAGAAGGCAATCTCCAGGGGGGATGGTCATGTTGCAATCCCTTCTCCTCCATTCTCTTGGGATTTTGAAAATACACACACATGCACCTGGCATGATTTTCAAGCCATTGGGTCCAGGACTTGAACCAAAATCAGCCAATCTACCCCAGCCTCATTCAGCCCCATATCATAGACACAGATGTACCCATGGTACTCAGAGATCTCCCAGGAGACCCCAGACCTTCCTGTGTGAATCAGTCTCACAGAGCACACCTCCATAAGCCCTCCCCCCAAAAAGTTTATCTGCTTATTTTTTTAATGTTTATTTTATTCATGGTAGTGCCTGTGTGCACGAGAGAGAGAGAAAGGCAGAGAGAGAGGAAAACACCCACAACAGGTTCTCATCACAGTGTGAGGCCCCTTCCCCAGCCCTTGAGCTCGCAGGTCGCAGGGATCCCGGGCACATGTGCATGCAGCTAGCATGTTCTTATGCCAGCCCATGGATCTAAACCTACACTTGCTCGTGTTGTTGCAAGCACTGCAGTTCCATTCACTACTGACTGTGCCACCAGACTGGGCTCCCAAAAGTAGTTTTAGGTCACTGGTTTTAGTCTATATTTTAAGGACTCTTGATGATTTACAGTATTTATTGAATCATTTAATGAACAATGAAGGACTAAAATTTTATATGATATGGAAAGTTAAGATTGTCATATAAAAATAATAATAGATCTGTTTTTATTAAATTATGTAAAATGTGTGTGATTTAAAAAATAGTCTGAATGTAGATAGCATATGAAACTGGAGAGTGGCTTGGTTTTCATTTTCAGTTTCATCTGTTCCTATTTTAAGTTTTTTTTTTTTTAAGAGTTTTTTTTTTTTTTTTTGCTATAGGGCGCGTGCGCTCACCAGACAGAGAGAGAGAGACAGAGAGACAGAAAGCGAGAAATTACCCCCCGGGGGGATGGCAACACCGCAGTCCCTTCTCCTCCATTCTCCTCTCGGGATCTTGGGCACGCACGCACACGCACCCTGTGTTTAATGCCACGGTGTCCGGGACGCAAACCTCTGTCGACTCCGTGGGAGTCCAGCGACATAGCCATTACGCTAACTGCTGGTCCCAATTTTGTTTGAAGTTTTTACAAGGACCATGTATTTGATAGTAAATCTTAAAAAATTCAAAGTTGCTAAGAGTAAAAAAAGTAAGGATAAATTTATTCGCCAGTTTTCTGTTTAGTCAATCTGTTAACTAGATTGGGAGATACGAGCGGAATTTGTTGATTACAGTCATCTTATCCTCAAGAAAATGTAATTGCGTGGCCTTTTTTTGTTCAGGGTTTTTTCAGAGTCTGGCCATTTCATCGTAGTTCTCTATTCTGTGACACATAAGGAGCCTGAGTTTTATGAGTGCTTTCCTTGTGATAGTAGAAGGCTTGACCTTGGATTTCAGCTCCTCACCAGCAAGGAAACATTACATCTTTTCAAAGTAAGTGATTTTATTACTGAATACTGTAGTTATTGTTTGGCAGCTTACCTCAGTGGCTTTCATCCTTTAAAACAGTAATTCACACTGTTAGCCTTTGCTTGCTTATAATCAATCTTTATTATTTTTTTAGAGAGGTTTTTGCTATAGGGCGCATGCACTCGCCAAAGAGACAGAAAGCGAGAAATCACCCCCCAAGGGAGATAGCCACGCAACAATTGCTTCTCCTCCATTTTCTTCTTGGGATCTTTGGCGCATACGCGCCCGGTGTGAGTTTAAGCCACTGGGTCCAGGACTCGAACCACAGTCGACTACATGGGAGTCCAGCGACATAGCCATTATGCTAACTGCTGGTCCCTATAATCAATCTTATAGAATATTAATGCCCTTTTTTTTTTTTTTCAAGAATTATTTTTATTTAACTTTATTTATTTTTTTATTTATTTATTTTTAATTTGAGCAGGGAGGGACAGAATGAGAGAGAGAAAGAAAGTGAGAAAGCAGGCCACCAGGTCCGGGATTTGAACTGTGATCAGCCATATGGGAGGCCAGCGCCCTTAACTACCATGCCAACTGCTGGCCCCACGTATTAATAACGTTATGATTAATTTTTGTTTAGACTAGAACCAAAATCTTATTTTGTTTAGTAAATCTTATTTCCAGAACTAAATTATAATAGAGGATCAGAGATTTTCCACGGAATAAGATACCCAATATTAGTTAAAGTCTTTGAAGGATTTGTAGTTTGTAAGTTACATCTTTTTAAGCTGTTCAGAGTTAATTTTGTAATCTTTTTTCTTGACTGCTATTTTAAAAACTGGGTAGTAGGGCTTGGCAGGTAGTGTGGTGGTTAAAGGCACTGGGCTCCCACATGCCTGACCATAGCTCAAGTCCCAGACCCGGTGGCTTGCTTTCTCATCTTCTCTAATACTAATAAATAAAGTTAAATTTAAAAAACAATTCTTAAAAAAAAAAAAAAAGGTAGTGTAACAAATGATTTTTATTTTTTTCACTTTTAAGTCAGAATTTACATAATGTAATTTAAAGAATTGGAATAGATTATTTTTTTAATTGTGAAACGTTATTTACATACCATTTATTCTAAAATCTTTAAAAATTTTATTTATTTATTTATTCCTTTATTTTTACATTTTATGTCTTTACAGTATACATTTTTTTTACAACGCAAATACTATGCATGTAAGTCAAGATAAGGATATTACTATATACATTATCATCAGCAAATAGCTTTTCATTTTCTTGTCAAATTAAGCTACTTTTACCTTTTTTACCTTCCCCTTTCCCTTCCCTCCTTTCCACACTAAACCTTTCTTTTTTTTTTTTTTTTTTGGAGAGGTTTTCGCTATAGGGCGCGTGTGTTTGCCAGACAGACATAGAGAGACATAGAGACAGAAAGCGAGAAATCACCCAGGGGAATGGTCATGCCACAATCCCTTCTCCTCCATTCTCCTCTCGGGATCTTGGGCACACATGTACATGCGCCCGGCGTGAGTTTTAAGCCACCAGGTCCGGGACCCAAACCACGGTCGACTACGTGGGAGTCCAGCGACATAACCATTACGCTAACTGCTGGTTCCCCTAAAACTTTTTTTTTTTCACATTTTATTGATTCACAAAAGATCTTACAGTATGGACAAAGCTAAAATCTAGTGACAAGTGCACTGTAATTTTTCTTCTGAAACATTTTTTTCTCTCCATTGTCCCCCGATTTTGATTTTTTGTTTTGTTTTGAGAGGTTTTTGCTATAGGGCGTGTGCACTCGCCAGACAGACAAAGAGAGACAGAAAGTGAGAAATCACCCCCCGGGGGATGGCCACGCCGCAATCCCTTCTCCTCTCGGGATCTTGGGCACGCACGCACATGCGCCTGACGTGAGTTTTAAGCCATCGGGTCTGGGACTGCGGTCGACTACATGGGAGTCCAGCGACATAGCCATAACTGCTGAGTGAGAGAGAGGTAACCTTGACAGTTTTGCCATGCTCTGATCTCCTTTCAGCCTCCCAGCATGCCAGGATCTTGGGCGTGCCTGGCAACTTTAGGTTGATGCAGGATTCGAACCCACTTTTCCCATATTGTTCCAGCATCACACAGCAATGCACTATTACTGATGCCATTGCTGGGCCAAGTTTTTATATTCAAGCTATAAATGTAATTTTTTTTTTTTTGAGGTTTTTGCTATAGGGTGCGTGCGCTCACCAGACAGACAGAGACAGAGAGATAGAAAGTGAGAAATCACCCCCCAGGGGGGATGGCCACGCTACAATCCCTTCTTCTCCATTCTCCTCTTGGGATCTTGGGCACGCATGCACACGCATCCAGCATGAGGTTTAAGCCACTGGGTCCGGGACGTGAACCATGGTTGACTATATGGGAGTCCAGCGACATAGCCATTATGCTAACTGCTGGTCCTAAATGTAATTATTTTAAATGCGATCTAGTAGTTTATTTCTGTCCTTAATGTCATTTATTATTTTATTCTTTCGATGGTATCTTCAGTTCATAGTGACAGTCATTGAATCCCTGGCAGTTAAGCTATGTAATGCAGGTGATTAAGGTTTTTTTATTATTATTATTTAAGCTTACATAAGAGGGAATAACTTAAAAAAGAAAGTTACAGGGCCAGCAGGTGGTGTGGTAGTCAAGGTGGCTAGGTCCCACATGGCTGGTTGCGTGGTTCAAGTCATGCACCCAGCGGCTTGATAATCACACGTGTGTGTGTGTGTGTGTGTGTACGTGCGCCAAAAATACCAAGAGGAAAATGGAGGAGAAGGGATTGCAGTGCAGCCATCTCTTGGAGGTGGTTTTTTTCACTTTTTCCTTCTCTGTTTCTCTCTTTTTGTCTCTGGTGAGAGCAAGCATCCTATAGCAAAAATGTTAAAAAGATATAAGAGGAAAAAAAGAAGATTACATAGTTATAGAAATCAAAAGTCATCAGTCTTTCCCCTCACCCCCACTCCCCGTGTTACAGAGCTGTTTTTCATCGAAATACAATTCTCTGGCATTTTTAAGTCTGATCTGAAAGTATGACTTTCTTCATTTCAGAATGTTGAATCTTCTGACAAAAATCTAATCCATTTTGAACTGCGTACTGAAAGCCAAAATGCAGAAACAGAGGTTTTCAACAAGGTTTCCAAGAATCTTGCAATGAAGAGGTAAAATATCTTCTTATTATCAGTCATACTTTTTATTGTCCTCCTTGGTTTTTGGTGAGTAAAATGAGTATTTTTGTTCACACTCTCTATAAATATCATGCACTATACAGCCTTTGTTTTAAACTCATTCCTTCATGTCCCCTAGGATGTTGGGTGATAATTCTGATGAGATGACACTCCAGTGTGACTCTCGTTTGAGTTGATCTATTATACAGAAAGAACAAAAGAGTATTTATCAAGAACTTATCTTGCTTCAGAAAAAGCATCTTCTTTTTGTTTGGTGCCTTCTATTCTCTTCCTTGATGTTTTAAACCTGGGCCTATCATAAACTACTATAAAAATAACTCTTCTACCTAAAATTGAAAATACGTGTTCTAAAACTTTTAGGGCTTGTACCTTCTTAGGTCAGTACATCATCCTACCTTTTGTGGTAAAGAAGATATTCTCTTGGGGACCAGTAGTTAGCATAATGGCTATGTCGCTGGACTCCCACGTAGTCGACCGCGGTTCAAGTCCTGACCCCAGTGGCTTAAACTCAAGCCGGGCATGTGTGCGTGCGTACCCAAGATCCCGAGAGGAGAATGGAGAAGGGATTGTGGCATGGGCATCCTCCCTGGGGGGTGATTTCTCGCTTTCTTTCTCTCTGTCTCTCTCTGTCTGTCTGGCGAGCACACTGCCCTATAGCAAAAACCTCTCAAAAAAAAGAAGATATTCTCTTGAATTAGTCAAGGTTATCCAAAAAAAAAAAAAAAACAGAGCCAATAGGACACACCTGTATATATAAAGATTTTTTTTTTTAAGGAATTGGTTTCTATAATTGGAGGCTTGGCAGGGCCCCAAAAAAACAAGGAAAACGGCTTGGCAGGTCCACAATCAGCAAGGATAATCTAGAGACCCAGGGAAGAGTTGCAATTCAAGTCCAAAAAAGTCTGCTGGCAGAATGCTTTCTCTCTTTCTCCAGGGAGGTACAACTTTGTCTTTTTATGTCTTTTTTTTTTTTTTAGGGTATTTATCTGTTTGTTAATTTTCACGTATGTGTAAGAGAGACAGGTATCCCCAACAGGATCCCCATGCCATGATCCACCCCTAGGATTCGCTGGCCTGGATCACAGGCATGCACATGCATACCCAGCACACACAAGGAGATCCCAAACCTGAAGCCAGGACCTTCCTATGTGTGTCCATTTGCATTACCACCATGCCACTGCCCAGCCCCACGGTCAGTCTTCTGTTAAGTTCTTCAACTGATCGGGTGAGGCCCATCCATATTCTAGGGAATAATCTGCTTTACTCAGAGTCTCCTGATTTAAATGCTAATCTTATTTTAAAATACTTTCATAGAAACACTGAGAATGCTGTTCGATCAAATATCTAGGTACTGTGGCCTAGCTGAGTTGACACATACAATTAGCCATCACATCCCTGTTCTAGTTTTTTCCTTTACTCTGCTACGTGCATGTGGCATGATTAGGGCTGGGAATGTGGTAGGATATAAAACACACAGGTGTGGTTCCTTCCCTCAGGGAACTGATAGTTCAGAGAGGTCTATTAATTTGAGTTAATATTTGCTAGATAGCAAATAACCTTAGATAAAGGTTGCTTTGGAGTGTTGGTTTATAGGATACGTGCACTCACTGGAGAGACAGAGACAGAAAGCAAGAAATCACCTCCCTCCCTGGTGCAATGGCCACTCTGCAATCCCTTTTCCTTTCTCTCAGGATTTTGGGTACACATGAATATGTGCCCAGCGTGAGTTTTAAGCTGCTGGGTCTCGGACTCATTCCGCAGTTGACTTCATGGGGGTGCAGCCACGTAACCGTTATGCACTGTTACGGCATCTACTGGTCCCTATTATTTATTTTGTTCAAGAATTATTTATTTAATTTTATTTAGTATTATTATCATCATTAATTTGCTATAGAATACATACACTCACCAGGGAAAGACAGAGAGAAAGTGAGAAAGCAAGCCACCAGTTTCAGGGCTCAAACCACAGTTGGCCATGTGGGAGTCTAGCACCTTAACTATGACTCTACCTGCTGGCCCCAGACTATTGTTATTTTTAATTCTCCCTAGTAATTGATTTGTTCTTTTCTCAACTTTTTTACTATAACCTGAACTTCCCTCTGGGTGCCTTTGAAGTATACTGCATGAGAAATGAGTAGATGGAAGGTTCCTGTTCATTACTGGTTATGGCAATGCTTTTATCTTTTATTTATTTATTTATTTATTTAAGTTTGCTCCATCAGAGAGATGGTGAGACAGAGAAACAAGCAGCTGCAACAGGGTCTTCGAGCAACTGTCCGCCCTCAGTCTCAGCCAGCAGCATGGCATCTTCAACAGTCTCTGTCTCCTCTTTGTTGATGCATCCAACCTCACATCTCCTTCTCTGACTCTGACCCTCTTGCCTCCCTCTTATAAGGATCTTCGTGTCCACCTGCATAATCTGGAATAATCTCCCCTTCTCTTGACTTTAAGCTTCCACCAGCAGACTTTTCCACATACAGTAATATATTCAAAGATATTGGGAACTAGAAAGATACCTAACGAATATTCTCTCCATCTTCTCTGGACATTTTTTTAATTGCCAGTGGGATGCATGTGCTCGCCAGAGACAGAGAAGGAGGGAAGGAGGGAAGGAGGGAAAAGCACCTTGTGATGTGTTCATACTGCAATCACTTTTCCATTTCTCATCCTTCAGGGATTTAGGGTGTGCATGGGCATGCCCCGTGTGTTTTTCAAGGCACGTGGACTGAGATTTGAAAGGTGGTTGGCCATATGGGATCTGGCTTCCCTTAACCACAGCTTTAAGGCCAGCCCCTTCTGTGCATTTCCAGTTATCCTTAAATCAAGTTAGATCCCCAGAAGATTGTTTTGCAGGAACACTTTTACTGTCATTAATTTTAAGGTTTTGTTGAACATTTTATTGAATAATTATGGAAGAAAAGCTAAATTAAGTAGATACTTGCAATTTCTTTAATAATGTTGCTAAACGCTTTTTGCCTGTTATCAACCAGAGTTTTAATAAGGGTTAGTCATTTTGTATTTTAGTCAAATATTTGTCTTCTAAAGAATTAGTGTTATAACTCTAATCCTAGTTTTTCCTTTTTGTCTCAGGTGCTAAAAAAGCTAAGAAGTAGGTTTTATTGCTCAGCATCAGCATGTGTGTGTGTGTGTGTGTGTGTGTGTGTGTGTGTCACAGATACTATTTCTGTGCCACAACTCAGATGTACAAAAATTTGCCCCCTCCATTGTCAACCATGGGAGTCCAGTGACTTGACCTTTATGTCATCTGCTGGTCCTACCCATTCCACCTTTTCAGTTCATTTATTTCTTCCATGAGCAAGAACACGGGAAGAAAGGCAGAGAGGTAGTATCCAACAGGATCCTGATGCCGTGATCCAGCCTCTGCCAGACCCAGATCACAAGCTTGTGCGTGCCTTGCGTATTCAGGGAAATTTCTGCATAGGAATCCAGAACTCCTCTGACATAGATCAGCCTTTCTTTTTTTTTTTTTTTAAGAATTATTTAACTTTTTTTCATTCATTCATTCATTCATCTTAAATTTACAAGAGAGACACAGAGAGAGAGAAAGTGAGAAAGCAAGCCACCAGGTCCAGGACTTGAACCGTTGTCGGCCACATGGGAGTGTCCAGTGCTTTAACCACCATACCACCAGCTAGTCTCCCATAGGTCAGCCTTGAAGAGCCTGCCATCATCTGGCCAATAAGCCCCTATTATACTGGGTTTAGAAACCACATTTTAGTGAATTCCAGGTCTCTTTCCTCTGGAGTTATAGGGGATGTAGACGTGATATGCCAATACCAGGGATAGATACATGATGGCATGATTCTGTTCTGCTGTCTGCTGAAGAGTTTTTATTTGTGACTGGTCTTTGGTAGGTTTGTGCTGGTTTCAGTTAGCCCCTGTGGCCTTGTGTAGGTCACTCGCATTGGGCATATGGTATATTGTTTGATCTTTCCAAGTTATTCTTGGGTGTTGGGTTAGGGCTTTGTGGGGCCTGGTACAGACCCATCTGCTTAAATCATGCAGAGATTCTGATTCCTTCATTGTAATATCTTTCTGAGTGTCTGCTCTCTAGACCACCAGGTCATGGTGCAGAATTCTCCTCTAATGTCAGATCTTCAAATCTACTTTGAAGTTTCTGTTTTCCCCCTACTGGGGAGGAGTCAAGTGTGGAACAGAATATAGGATGTTTTCTTCTGGGCTCCATTCATTCTAAGCACTCAGCTTTCTTCCGGGTTATCTTTTCTTTTCCCTGACATATTCTGTTGAGACTTCAGGCTGTGAAATATGATGTATATAGTATTCTAAATCTTTAGTTTTTTTTTTTTGTTTTTGCTTTTTAAGCTCAAAAAAAAGTGAGAGAGACAGAGAGTGAAAACTCCAAAAAGGTCTGGACACTGCGATTCACTCCTAGCTTTAGCCAGCCCCAGATCATGGCATATAGGTTCCCAATACTCAGGGAAATCTCCAGACACAAGCAAGAACCTTCCCATGTGGGTTGTCAGTCTTATAGAGCATCAGGTTTTACCACTGTGTCATCACGTGACCCTCTAAGTCTTCAATTTTAAACTGTAATGTCAGTTTTTGGAACTCGGTTTCAGGACTCAAGGTTTCTCTGTTTTGACCAGCCTGGGTGGTATAGTCAGCATACTGGACTGCAGTGCTGGAAGCCACATGGCACACTGCAGATTTGGATTCCTGGCCCAGTCGACCTGAAGTGCACTGGGTATGCACACACGTGCCCGAGATCCTGACAACTAGGGAAGCGTTGGAGGAGGGGAATACGATTGTCGCCAGACCGTGTTGAGAGTGCACCTCTCTGTCTCACATGTGCACATGCATATTCTCTATCATAAACTTAAATTGTTTTTCTGTTTTTCTACGGCAAGTCATCTGTGATGCAGTGATTACAGTTGACTACAGTAGAGGTGACATCTCAGTGCCTCAGATATCTTCCCACCACAGATATAAGTACATAGGAAATGAATTTCTCATTTGGTTTCCTTTGTAACATAGCAGGTGTTCAATATAGTGTATGTATGTATGTGTGTGTCTGTGTATGTGTGTGTGTGTGTGTGTGTTTAAAGAGGTTTTTGCCTTAGGGCATGTTTGCTTACTGGAGAGACCGTGAGAGGGAAAGTGAGAAAGCTTCCCCCCGCTGGGGTGAGGGGCAGGGGAATGGGCTCACCACAGTCTCTTCTCCTTTGTTCTCCTGAGATCTTGGGCACACACACACACACATGCCCTGTGTGAGTTTCGAGCCACCAGGTCTAGTGTTCAGAGTGTGGTTGGCCACGTGGGAGTCCCGAGACATAATGGCTATGACAGCTACTGGCCCCATAGTGTGTTTAACACGGAGGGCATCTCTATCGCCAGGTTATACACTGTTTTACATTAACACGGAGGGCATCTCTGTCGCCAGGTTATACGCCGTTTTACATTAACACGGAGGGCATCTCTGTCGCCAGGTTATACGCCGTTTTACATTAACACGGAGGGCATCTCTGTCGCCAGGTTATACGCCGTTTTACATTAACACGGAGGGCATCTCTGTCGCCAGGTTATACGCCGTTTTACATTAACACGGAGGGCATCTCTGTCGCCAGGTTATACGCCGTTTTACATTACCACGGAGCGCATCTCTATCGCCAGGTTATACACTGTTTTACATTAAGCTTTGTGTTTATTTCTACATTTGTTGAAGTGGTCAACCAGAAGATACTTAGTGACTGTTGATTGATCACAGCATTGGTAATACTGGATTTAACTAGTCGTGCTCTTACAAACGGGGTAGTTTGTTAAGCATGAATCTGACTGAGCCAGCTTCCCTAGTCAACAAACATTGTCCTGAAAAATAATCCATGGTTATCAACAGAAACTAAATGAAATGATCCAAATACTATTGTAACTTATTAAACGATTTTATTTCATTTTAAAAAGAAGAAAAGAACACTGGATTATTAAGGGGGTTTTTTTGGTCTTTCCCTCTGTTCTTTAGGTCTTCTCAAAAGTTGTCTCCTGGAAAAATGCCAATAAATGATCATGATTCTGGTGTTGAAGATGAAGATTTTTCTCCCAGACCAATTCCTAGTCCTCATCCGGTGAGTAAAAAAGGTGTCACTGATAATATAATGAATTCACCTGTGTAGCTAAAGACCTAAAAGTCTCTCCATGTTAACGTAGTAATACTACCTAAAACTTATTTTCATTCTACAATATATCTAGCTATCTATATCAATAAGGTTATAATGTACATATAGAAATATGTAGTTATATATTAATTGTATACATCATATACATATATATATAATATCCATGTAATAAGTAAAATTATTTCCAAAGAAAATTGAGATAAATGACTTGCCCAAGATCATACCATTAGTAAATAATAAGGCTTGATTCTTTTTTTTTTTTTTTTATGAATTATTTATTTAATTTTTGGAGAGGTTTATTGCTATAGGGCGCATGCACTCACCAGACAGACAGAGACAAAAAGCGAGAAGTCTCCCCCCCCCGGGGGGATGGCCATGACACAATCCCTTCTCCTCCATTCTCCTCTTGGGATCTTGGGCATGCACGCACACGCACCTGGCATATGAGTTTAAGCCACCGGATCCGGGACTCGAACCACAGTCGACTACATGGGATTCCAGAGACATAGCCATTATGTTAACTGCTGGTCCCTTTATTATTTATTATCTTTTTAAAATTTGCTATAAGGGCATATGAGCTCACCAGAGAGAGAGAGAGAGAAAGGGAAATTGAGAAAGAAAACCACCAGTCAGCCATGTGGGAGTCCAGTGACTTAACCACCATGCTACCTGCTGACCCCAAGGCTGGGATTCTAACTGAGGAGGTTTGACTTTAGAATCTCGTGCTTTTAGAACCATGGAGACTCAATATTCTGCACTACTACTAGAGCTGGACGTTGGTTTTTATCACTATATTGAGAAACATTCTACTTGCTTTTAGAAGTAAGTCGCTAATAACCTCTATCATAATTTTTTGCTTGCTGCCAACAAGTGGGTTATTATTTTATGGGGCTGGCAGGTGGCATGGTGGTTAAAGGTGCTACATTCCCATATGACTAACCGCAGTTTGAGTCTGGTCCTGGTGGCTTACTTTCTTATTTTCCCTTTCTTTCTTTGTTTCTGTCTAGTCAAAATAAAAAATAATAATAACAAATTAGAGTGACCAGCAGGTGGCATGGTGGTTAAGGCACTGTGGGCACTCCCATATGGCTGACAATGGTTTGAGTCCCAGACCTGGTGGCTTGCTTTCTCACTTTCTCTCTCTCTCTCTCTCTCTCTCTCTCTCTCTCTCTGTGTGTGATTGATCACAGCATTGGTAATACTGGATTTAACTAGTCGTGCTCTTACAAACGGGGTAGTTTGTTAAGCATGAATCTGACTGAGCCAGCTTCCCTAGTCAACAAACATTGTCCTGAAAAATAATCCATGGTTATCAACAGAAACTAAATGAAATGATCCAAATACTATTGTAACTTATTAAACGATTTTATTTCATTTTAAAAAGAAGAAAAGAACACTGGATTATTAAGGGGGTTTTTTTGGTCTTTCCCTCTGTTCTTTAGGTCTTCTCAAAAGTTGTCTCCTGGAAAAATGCCAATAAATGATCATGATTCTGGTGTTGAAGATGAAGATTTTTCTCCCAGACCAATTCCTAGTCCTCATCCGGTGAGTAAAAAAGGTGTCACTGATAATATAATGAATTCACCTGTGTAGCTAAAGACCTAAAAGTCTCTCCATGTTAACGTAGTAATACTACCTAAAACTTATTTTCATTCTACAATATATCTAGCTATCTATATCAATAAGGTTATAATGTACATATAGAAATATGTAGTTATATATTAATTGTATACATCATATACATATATATATAATATCCATGTAATAAGTAAAATTATTTCCAAAGAAAATTGAGATAAATGACTTGCCCAAGATCATACCATTAGTAAATAATAAGGCTTGATTCTTTTTTTTTTTTTTTTTGTAAATTTTTTTTTTAATTTTTGGTGCACCCCAACCACTGTACCACCTGTAGTCCCCAAAAGATTTTTTGCTATAGAGTGCATGTGCTTGCCAGCAAGAGAAGGAAATTAAACAATCACCTTCTCTTCCATTCTCTTATTGATTTTTGGGCATGCACGCACACGCACCTGGCATATGAGTTTAAGCCACCGGATCCGGGACTCGAACCACAGTCGACTACATGGGATTCCAGAGACATAGCCATTATGTTAACTGCTGGTCCCTTTATTATTTATTATCTTTTTAAAATTTGCTATAAGGGCATATGAGCTCACCAGAGAGAGAGAGAGAGAAAGGGAAATTGAGAAAGAAAACCACCAGTCAGCCATGTGGGAGTCCAGTGACTTAACCACCATGCTACCTGCTGACCCCAAGGCTGGGATTCTAACTGAGGAGGTTTGACTTTAGAATCTCGTGCTTTTAGAACCATGGAGACTCAATATTCTGCACTACTACTAGAGCTGGACGTTGGTTTTTATCACTATATTGAGAAACATTCTACTTGCTTTTAGAAGTAAGTCGCTAATAACCTCTATCATAATTTTTTGCTTGCTGCCAACAAGTGGGTTATTATTTTATGGGGCTGGCAGGTGGCATGGTGGTTAAAGGTGCTACATTCCCATATGACTAACCGCAGTTTGAGTCTGGTCCTGGTGGCTTACTTTCTTATTTTCCCTTTCTTTCTTTGTTTCTGTCTAGTCAAAATAAAAAATAATAATAACAAATTAGAGTGACCAGCAGGTGGCATGGTGGTTAAGGCACTGTGGGCACTCCCATATGGCTGACAATGGTTTGAGTCCCAGACCTGGTGGCTTGCTTTCTCACTTTCTCTCTCTCTCTCT